GCAAGTCTATCAATGTCCAAGCAGGATTGAATTTGTTTGCAGATGTATAGAATATTTACAATACAGAAAAATTTTAAGCAACTGACAAATCAAAAGTCTACAGCAAGTAAGTAACTTTGTTAGCCCTTCAATGCTACACTGGCCTCTGAACTTATATTTTTCGGTGCTTATAAGATAAAATTTGTGGCTGGCAAAGCCAGCCACTATAAATTGAACTGAGTTCAGGTTTGTAACACTGCCTGCGGCTGAACCATGAACTTAATGGGCTCAAACTGTAATGCATAACATTGGTGAACTTAAATTCAAAACTATACAGTATTGCACTTAGAAATGATCATTTTGGCTGACACTGATGCGTATTTTCTGTGACTTCAACAAGGGCTCAGCAGAGGCATAGGTTTCACATCAGGAAAAGCCCCCCTTGGCTTAGGCTAGTCTAGACAGTGTAAGGTAACCTGAATCATTCAAGTTGACAAAGCACCTTGAGTAGCTTGTTGGAATTTACAGAAAATCTATTTTAGCCCACATTACAACATACTTATGAATTTATGATATCACAGGAGATATTTGCGCATACACTCACAGTATTCATGCATATACTCACAGTAGCCACTTTACTGTATGCATAGTAGCCACAGATATTCACATAGTACCCACTTTCCTGTTATATGCACTATGACATAGTCATTCTTACAGGTATAAATACAGTATGTAGTTACTCATGTACCTTACCTGTTTGCCTCAGGGCCCAGTCGAGGTCGAACGGCTACACAATCATTAAACTCCATTTCTTATTTCTAACATAGCTTGGGCTAAGGTCCAGAAAAATTTTATACCCAGGTTGACTTCAAGTTGAACCAAGATACCAGTAGGTTGCCTCAAGTCACACCCAAGCCTGTAAAGTTATCTTGAGTAGCTTTTCAGAGTGGCTTTGTTTGACTTCAGGCTAACTTCAAGGAGACTTAATCATACCTATGCAGGACTAGGTTGTGTATGTAGTGTGTCTCCAAGGTAAATAAAATTTGCTCAGAGGCACTTCAAGTTGGCTCAAGTTAGCTTTGAGTCATCTTATATAAACTCAAATCTTCCAGAAGGTAGCTCTTACTACTTCAAGGTTAGTTTGTGTCAATTCAAAGTGGGTTCATTTACTTGAAGTTGCTTGTCAGCAACCAATTTCTGTAAGTAGACACCATTGTCTACAGTAGATAATTGTGCAAAATTGATTATATTGCTGATCAGGAATGCTACTACCTACACCTAAAAGTAAATATGATAATCAAAATTAAGTGTGATTAAAGAGAACATTACAGATAATGTTATGGACAATATATGAAAGTATGACTATGCAGCAGCAGAAGCAACAGAACTAGCAGTGGGAATACCAGTGGCAGTGGCAGCAGAAGGAATACCAGTTGGCTGAGATGCAGTTTCTTGACCACCTGCCTGGATACCATCCTCTGCTGCCTTTTCAGCAATTGAGGGACTGGGTGAAACTTGATAATTCCATGGTATTGAATAACATTGAGTGCAGGCTGAGTGTTTGTAAGTCCTCATTGTTTGTCCTGGTTGGCCTGCAGGAAGACATTGTCAATATGGCTGTACTCTTCTGGTGGGTATAAAATGTCAGTAGATCTCAAGATTTGAGAAACAGAAGCAGGCAAAGAGAATTTCGTCCCATTGAAAGACATGGGTTTGGCATATGCTTTCAGCCAGGGATTCGTCATGGATGTCCAATTTTCAGTCATTGCAGACTGGACGATGTTCGGAGAAGTCAAAGCAACAGGAATCGTGGAGAGTCCTTCCAGGGAAATGGAAACAACACCCGAATTGTACGTCTCCCAACTACACTTCACCAAACCAGATTGTTCTGGTCAACATTCATACTCGTAGACTGTTATGGCGGGGCTTCCATCAGCGTTTAGTTCAACGAGGGAGTGAGAAAGATGGCGATATGGGAGACGATGATCAGAGGAAAAGGAACGAATATGAGCAAAATGAGGATCCAAAGCGCGTAAGGCTATGGATTTTCGTTGGGGTCAATACCAGCCTTTGATTTATTGACGAACCGCAGATGTTTACGACCACCGAGAGGAGTACGTTCGTTCGCCTCTGTCTCATCGTCGTCTGTAGGCTGAGCCTCATCGGGAACTTGAGTTATCTCCGATTTAGCCGTCTCTGCGACGCCGAAACAAAACGGCTACCCCGCAGATCAGTGTTGAGAGCCATAAGAGGCCGTTCCAGGTGCCGACCATGTACGAGATTCCACCTAAGCCAAACTGCGTGATGCCCACGGTAGATACCAGGAGCAAGAGCCACGAGACAACGTAGCTGCACAAAAGCGATGTGCGGAAAGATGTCCATGCAGGAACATTGGTGGTGGTAGGAGTTCGAGATGGTATCTCGACTTTAGCAGTAGCGAAATGAGGGGGTGACAGTACAAAGGATGGAACAAGGACTGCGAGGGTAAAGCAAGATTGGAGGGGTGTGGTAAGTTTACCGTAGGCCACCTGTAAATGTCCGAAAGTGAGTATCAGCATCAACGCGAAGACGAAGGCATTCAAATTCACAAACCCTACTACCAGTCCAACTTGAGCTCCGATAGTCAGGATCAAAGCAATCCAAAACCGTCCGTATTTCCATAGCATATGAGAACTCGCGTGTTCTTTCTGTGCTCATTGGCATGCGAGTGGTATGGGTGCGATCTTGCAGCAATGTCACGCAGGTCCTCGTAAGCTTCTGTGACATTCAGCCCTCCGTACCGTGACTGGAGTAGATGGAGATGGTACTGGGGCAATTTGATCAGTGATAAGCGTTGACATTGCCACAGCAATGTAGACAATGACTAGGAGAGTCGTTACAGGGACTGTAAGAAAGCCCGTGGTACGAGCAAACGCGAGACGAAGACTTCCGACGAATGCCATAGCGCTACACCTATATGAAGGATTATCAAGAATAAGAGCGGGAATACACCTTTCAGTACAGGCAACGCGATGAGGGTAAAAAAACAAGACTAGACGTGACGTCTATTGAAGCAGGACCCCTGATAATACCGCTTGAGCTCTGATCCCGAAAGGCCGGATTTTGGCCAAATTTAGAGGCAATCTATCATGCCAAAGGCCGAATTTCGGCCCTTTTTGGATGGTAGGTCTAGTGTAAAGAAAGGCTGAAAAAGACCGATCGGAGACCAGGTTTGATCCAAAAGGGCCGAATTTTACGAATTTTGGGCTGAATTCTTGGATTTTACATCACACATAATGATCTTTGAAGATCCTTGAAGTTCAAAACGCCGTTCAGACAGTTCTCGCATATCAATTCCGTCGTGGAGCGTCAGGGAGATGTTGAGGTAGAGGACTTATTGCCAGCAACTAAGTGTTCCCATATTTGAATGTCTGTGAGTATCTACTTAGAATTGCAGAAATTATAGTCCAAAATAGGCCAAAATGGGCTGAAACACTCAAACAGCGGAGAACTAACTTATGAGATGTATGATGCCCAAAAGGGCCGAAAATGGAATTTTTCAGAGCAGGTATGGTGCAAAAGGCCGGATTTTCCCCAAATCGGGCCATGAAAAAGGGCCGAATTCCGACCATTCGGGATCAGAGCTCCAGCGGTATTATCAGGGGTCCTATTGAAGCGCCCTTGTTGTCAGCGGCGCATCACGCAAAGCTGTTCATCTTGGATTCTCCCCTTACTCTAGCCTCAGAGATTTACAATCCAAACAAGCCAAATACTAGTAGAAGAGAAATCTCCACCTCGAAGATCTTAAGACTTGTCGGTTTTCGAAAACTAGAAACGGCTAGGCTATTTTCGAAAGTTATACCGTGGCCTGACGGAGGAACTCCTCCATAAATGGAAGAGACAAGAGGACAAAGCTGTTATGATGAGGTATCTTCAGCTACGACTGTGACTAGAGAAGAGAACGAGGAGCAGAGCTTCACATCTCAACTTCAATCGTGCGTTTCGAGCTCTCCCGCTTAGTTTAACCACCAGCGAGAATCTTTGCTGATTCCTGAATCGGCGTGGACTGAATCTCTTATCCTCATTTCATCGACGCTCCTTCTGGTACATTCTCATGATAGCATCGAAAACTCCGGAGTGAGAAGCCACGCTTGTCGTACATTATCCTATCGATTTTCTTCAACGGGAAGACACTTTTAGGAGGCAACTCGGAGTCGAAGGATGGCTGGGCGTAGTCGGATATGAAAGCAGGCGGACGGAAAGGAGAGAATGTTGAATTTGCCCATGTCCGGTCTCTGAGTGTGTACTAAGTTGGTCACTTTTACATGTGTTCCTGGAGGACACATTCACATTCTGAGGCTCACCTCACATTCCGGAGCTCACCTCACATCCCAGACTTCACTTCCCAAGAACAGCTTCACGCCTGGGATCCGACCGCTCGGGCGTTTTAGTCCTCAGGCTACAACTTCACCATCTCCTGTCGAGAATATGTTCGATTCCTTGTCTACGACACCTGCTCGAAGTCGCAGTGAAATCGTTGGGTTGACTCGCGAATCTGTAACCAAGCTCATAAATTACCAGTTTTCCGCTGTCTATTCTCTCTCTCTCTCTCTCTCTCTCTCTCTCTCTCTCTCTCTCTGATCTTCGACCGCCTACATCCTCTTTTTTGAGAAGGGATGGTTCGGATCGAGCGACAAGGTCGTTTTGCTTCGTCAAGGATTTAAAGCCAGCGCGTATAGAATGCCTTCTACTTGTGTTCCTGCCTTTCTTCTGGCTGGGCTTTCAATACTCCGTCACTGCTAAAGAAACTATAGATCTTTATTTCAATTCGTTTACAAGCCAGTACTGACCATGCTGACCATGCAATGCTTGCGTGTATAACTACAAGTCTGTAGAGACATAGTCCTGATAATTTTGATATCGTTTAGTAAGGTTTCTCTCGCTGGGTCAGAGCTGGAGCTTTCCTTGACACTATGCGGCAGCAGAACTGGCCGTACGAGCAAAAAAAATTTTAAAAAGAACCATCAATGTTGAAAAGTCAATGCCCACTGGCAGGTTTGAACTGCCGACCCTTGCAAATGTGCGCAGGTGTTTGATCACGTCATCCCATAAGTACAATGCTCTACCACTGAGCTAAGCGGGCGATACAAGCATAGGAAGTAATAGGGATCTATTTCTTTCCAGCTTACTACCTTGCTTTCAGAACTATTACGCTGTTGCGGATGAGCCAGTAATATCTAACTAGTTGTGTTACATGTCTACCAGTTTATTCATGCACAGTATCAGATATCAAGTAGTGCATGCATATGATGCAAGCCTGCCTCTTTGGATTAAAGATCATTTCTAATGAAGACAAAAACCACTTGGTCAAAGCGAGTAGAAAGGTGATTTTCCTGCAATTTTTCTCAATTTATTTTCTAAAAATTCTTGATGAGGAACCTCCGAAGTGCAATGCACCCAGAGCTAAGACTCCGCTGAATAATCTTCCTTGTACTCTCCTCCACATGCCTCCTCCATCGTCGTCCACCACTCAGTAACATATTTTTGGTTTCCTCCCCAAAGAGACAGCCAATACTGAAGAACTTACTAAGATTGGCGAAGATCTGCTGGGGAAAGAAAAATAAGGAAGGAAAAGATGGCATGACAGGCAGAAAATGAGAACTGGTCGGGTGATAGTGACGATACTGCTTTTTCGATAAGTTTCCCGCTACATCTCCACCAGTCTCCACCAGATCTTGTGTTGATGAAAAAAGTGGAATACTATTACGTTCATTGTTGTTACATTTCATGTACTCGTTCGTTAATGTTCAAAAGTATCAACCAATCACGCCTTGCTTGGCCCGATGACCCTTGGCTTGACCTTCTTCAGGTTCGATATGGTCTCGTCATCGAGGTTTAGGTGGGCTTTCACCAATGATGGTGGTGTCAGCGCCAGCCACTGTGAAAAACTGAGCTTTCTGTCACTGCGGTCGGGAAGACAACTCACCTGGTTCAGACTGATATCCTGGACACGATCTGTGGGCATCATGTGGAGTCAGAAACGCATAAGCAGCGCTGCAATGATCCCTGACCTCCAGCGAAAACTTCAAGATATCTTAACGTTGTGTTCCCTGTGTTTTCCACGTAATGTCCTACAATACTGGGGGTTCAAAAATGGGACACCAGGAGCTCTAGCGACCACTCACCCATTCCGATGGGAACATATCCTGTTTCGAGTCCAATCAGTAGCTGGTTGACTGAAAAAAATTCTGAATGCTTACCGATGTCTCCAGCCTAGAATAACATATTATGAATGAGGGATAATCGGAATTAGCAGAGATAATACGCACTTGATAAGTGAACGTTCTAGCATTACTTTGCGCGGCAAAAACCGTAACTCGTCCAGTTCCCTCTCTGTACGCAAACATGAGCTTTGCCCAAAACATATTGTGGTACTATTGATACGCACAGGAAAAAGCTCCATTCATCCATAGGTAGGATGCCACTTGTGGTTACATCAGTCTAATGAATACCTATACATTCAGCGGGGAACTTACGTGCAGTTCCCTAAAGGACATTGTGAGCAAATATAATTTCCAGTAATGAATCCATCTACCGCATTGCTCCAGGTTCAACTGTCACTTCTGCAGCTGAGATTGTTGTCGCCACTGGGAAATTCGTCGAATCGACGACCTTCATCGATCCCCCAGAAAGCTGGGTCGCATTAAGGCTAGAAAAAGAATATGTGAATGACTGAGGAACTGTTCCTTGAGGACTGGTAGGCGCTTGTTGATTATCAGGAGGAGCACCTAGGTCAACATGATCATCGATGACTTTCGAAGGCGTGAATTACAACATACTACCGGGGAAGATATATAGTTCCTGCGCCGGGATGTGCGAAAACGCCTCGGGATCAACTTGGAAGTTCTTCGATATTACTATGAACAGTTAGGAGACACGCAATCGATGAGAACAGGTACCACCTTCCGCCGGAACATGTGCAAGCCAATCGGTCAGCTGGTTGTGAACATGAGCTGGTCATAGAACACATAGAGCAACATTGGTTTAATACCAAAAAAGTATCATCTTCGCTGAAAGCCCCATCATCGAAGATCTGTATGATGAAGAATAAGTATTATGATGCGCTAGTACATAGATAAGTAACCGGGTTATACCAGGAGAATTCACTCCCTTCGGGGTTATCCCCGGTAGCTTGAAGAGAGTGCGGAATACCAGGAGGGAAATACCATAGGTCACCTGGCCCCTAAAAAACGCATTGGAAGGGCTGCCATAAAAGTGAAAGTAAGTAGACATACCACATTGCCAATAAAGTTTTGGCCGTCGCTATTAACAGCAGTGACTTGGGTTGTGCCCTAAAGAGTTTAGTTATCGAATACGAAGGGAGAGGAGTACTTTGAACTAACTTTCAGAACATACGCCCACTGAAACGATTGTTACAGAGAAGATAATCGAAGTGAGCTAAAGGGTGCTTACCTCCGAGGTTGTGTGCCAATGGAGCTCCCTTAATCAATTCATATTCAGCAGAAAAACCGACAACTAGAGGAAAGATACCTACCGAATCGCACCCGCCTCTAAACGCATGTTCACGCTGGCCATTGCTGTGAGGAGCATGAGCATTCTATCGTACCAAAACAGTGACGGTGAGTACCTGTAGCTATGGGCATGACCTCGATGTTTTCCTGTCTGGCCCAGCCCCCAGTCTGAAGACGATTATGACTCAGAGTGAAGGGCCATTTGGAGTTACCCCTTCGAAAAGTTTCAGCTGGGGATAATGGGTGATAGTAAAATTGGCTCACGTATCGCCGTTGGTCAGTAGTCGGAGGCGCAAACAGATCAGCATTCTCCAAGTCCATAGGTATGTTGTCTGGACCAAGAATGGGTGCTCCGAGTGTGCCACGCTGTGGACTTGGGAGCAGAGTCGGAGCTGTCGATGTTCCAGAGGGCTTTATTAGGATTTGTACTAGCAAACGGAACGGTAGTAACTGATAGAGCAGCAGATTTTATGGAGGAGGGGATATACGACTGGCTCTCGGTAGCACTGGGATTGTCACTCGACACGGGGGCTGATGCAACGATTTTCGCCAGTGCGGCGAGGAGAATGAGGGAGAATCGTATCTGAATCATCTTTTGCTGGTCAGTGAAGAACAGGAGCAAAAAAAAGTCTTTATATATGCCTCCAAATGCCATATATGATACTTTCACTGACGTACTGATTCGTTCGTCTATCGATTCATTTCCTTGTATTAAGATAAGAATACGAGCAACGAGCAAAAGAGAGGATGGTCGACCTTTTGTTCCGTGCCATTGTCTGGCAGGCCTTTCAAAAAAATCTAAAAGTGTTCGTTAAGGAGAGATTGTGGAGTAGTTGTGGCTCGAACGAGTACAGAAAATGAAGACCGCGTATTACTCCGATCCATTAGGATTCTCCAAGAACGGCAAACCTGTCGTATTTTTTGATATGTATAAGATACCCGATTTCTTGTTTGTTCTCCGTTCAACTTCCGTCACAGTCGTGACTTAACTTGTTCTCTTTCCAACTCAACAAGACAAGTCGGTATCTTCGGTATCTCGGCATTTGCTCTCATCATTTGAGCTGCAGAGAGCACCATGGCTGTTGGAGGAGATGAATCAGACAGAGAGAAGACTGGGAGCGGCACGCAGGAGGTTGGATGAGGTAAGAGGTTTAAAAGGGGATTGTAGTCACGTAGTGCTTTTGCCAGCAATAAGTTAGTGGGAAACCTTGGGCGCTAAATATGTGATCGGCACAGCCACTATGTCGATCCCCCTCGAGACGTGTCTTGCTCGTGATACCACAGATAACGAATATCTACTTACTGACACAAGCAAAATCCATCCTGGCTCATCCACAGAAGTATCGATATCACCATTGTTGCCATCTAGCTCCTCCATGCTTACCATTCTTACCATTACTCCGTTCCAATTGCCGTAAGCCGCTTCCGTTGCTATCTCTTATACGATATCAACATCATATTCAAGTCTCTCTTCTCTATCCGAGAGCTCGGACTCCAATCAAGATTGCAACGTCATACATTATATTTTTTCCGGCTATTGCACACCGATAATAGCGTCTACTCTATTGGAAGAAATAATGCCACGAACAGAATTCAACTGAATACATAAGTTCCAAAATATTCTTTGCCATAGTTCTGCGTATATCAGACTTATTGTACTAATATGGTCTCTGAAGGAAGGAAGAAAGGGGACCAAGTGCTAAGCGTTGAACGCCAAATCAGTCCCGCAGATTATCCCAGTTCGGCACGAACATTTTCGCCTCTGGACACCTACGCTAGGGCAAGAAAACGACGAGTTCACAGCTGGAGACGCCGCTGTAGATCGTTGACCCACTCTAGGGGCCAGTCTACGTAATTAGATACTTTACAGGCAATCTATATCTAAATCTACACTGGTGATTGAATATCGTACACTGTGTCGACCGTCATAGATCTTTATTGAAGATTTCAAAGACCCGTATAGAACTCAGTGAGATTTTTTGACGACGCTCAAGGAGAGCATCGGCAAAGGCTTTCAATGTATGGTACCATCACACGATACCGATGTGACTATCTGGTGAACCGGTAGCTGGGTCAATTTTTTACGATGGCGCTGATTTTCAATGCTTTCCAGGAGCTTGGTGTGCATACATACAGCTTTATTATTTTCCAGTGGCTCCTTTTGAATTTTCAGCTGGTTAGAGCCATTCTCCATGCGTATAAGCTCATTCTCATCCAGTTACATGAGTCCTGCTCAACCAACTTGCTGTATTAACCTAACACATCTGGTGCTAATGCATTTCGCAGAGTACTTATCTCCATTGGGTAAGGTGAGGCATACTGCCTTCACCGCTGATAATAGATCCCAAAACCATGGGGAGGAAGGTTCCAGCTCCCGTAAGGAACACCTGAATACATTTAAATAGCTCTCAAGATGGATCGGAGCCAACGTCGTCGCAGGTTGAATTGGACCTGAAGCTGTACTAGTACTGTAGGTATATAGCTGGATGTTCCTGAAGTCATCCGGTTCAAATCAGCAATTAAACTTCAGATCTATAATACTCTTTTAATAGACTAGGCCCAGGAACGAATCTATATTTGACCAAGGACTACATATGCCGCGAAGTCATAT